GAGGGGGGTTCATAACTAGAGGTACCACTGTATATATTTCTTGTTCACTATTATTGCCTCTATTTTCTCCTAAATCTGAGATCAAACTTTTCTATTCCTTAAAAATTTATTTCAGCAATTTGTCACTAACATTAAATACAAGCTGATCTCCAACTTCACAGTTCCTTGCTTTTTTAAAAACAAACAAACAGTAATATATGAATTTATCTGTTCATCATCCACTATTGGGTAAGGCCAACATTTTAAGTATTTAAACATAAACGTCTTTTTTGGATTACAATAAGATCTAAATAAAGCCAGGACCCTTTTTAAAAATAAGACTCATCTATTGATTGTTACAATATATGATACATTTCACCAGCTTCTCAACCCACCACATGTAACAAAAGAGAAACCTAAAAAATATCTGATTTTTCATCTGCTCTTGAGACTGTTCCATAAAGCAAAAAACTGCAATTTTGGTTTACAATTTTCTGCAAGATTTCTTGAGCGAGATAAAGAAGGTATCCATTTACAAATAAGCTACACACAGTAGTTCTTTTATGCAGCTAGTTCAGTTCCACTTTCATTTGCTCACTGCCGCACATTTTTTTACAATTTTCCTGAACTTAGAAATCTGCAGCCACTACGGGTATCATGTAATATTTCTCCTTATTCCAAGGAGATGACAACTAACCATGGATCAGAAAGCTTTAATTATTCTTAGTAGGACATCCCTCCAAAGTGAAACAGTACAGCATACTTAAGACAAGCTACACATACAATGTTCCATCTTTTAATCATGATCAATTTACTCCTTCTGCTGCTTTAGGTCAGCAAAACATAACACAAGCCTCATCATATACACAAATTTATCAAATCCCATTATTTTCTATGTTTCAAGCATCTTTCTCCAACCTGATGCCTCCAAATATGGTGTACTTCCTCCCATAATCCCCCAACCAATGCCATATTGGAAGGGAATTAGGGGATTTGAGGTCTAACAATGACAGAAGACAGCTGGCTGGGCAAGGCTGGTATAGAAAATGACCTTACTCTGGATGTTGTTGTTCATTGTGGGCAAAGAGTATAACATCTCACTCTTTAGCTTGGGTGGCAAAATCTTCTCTTCATCTCCGACCTACAGAATTATTAAAGAGGGAAGTTATATCAATAGCCAATTGTTGCAAACCAGTACTTGGAGCAAAGTGAAAGATTCACAGCTTCTGACAACACCCCAAAGCCTACTTGAGAAGAAACTTGTCTTGCCACTAGCTCACTAAAACCATTTTTGGCATGGGTTACAGACAGGGCTGCCATCTGGGCAGTAATCCCTTGACCCTGACAGAGCATTCAAGAAAGAAAGAATTCAGGCAAGCTGGAATTTAGAGAATGTGGATGGAGAGCTTTCTGACAATAAAGCATGAAACCGCTGGGTGAGATCATCCGTCATCATGGGGTGAGGTATCATCAGTATGTTGATGATACACAATTATACATCTCCATCCCATGTGAAGTAAGTGATGCCGTGACTGCCCTTTCTTGGTGTCTGGAGGCTGTAAGGGTCTGGATGGAGAAAAACAGGCTTCGGCTGAACCCTGGTAAGACGGAGTGGCTGTGGGTTAATGGCTCCTCTGTAT